GAAAGGTAAACTACAATTTTGTAAGTGTTCTCTAGCAAATATTCACTTTAGTTTTTCCAGATTTACTACAGAGCCATGGCAGTCTCACACTATGTAATTCATACATTGAAACTGCTTTTCTTCACTCTCATTTTCTCGGGAAGTGTTTAATGGCAGAATTCTCTAGCAGGAGCCTGTTACTAAAACTTTAGGTTTATATATATATATGTGTGTACATACTTATATATCCATGGATATATATCCACATACTAAATATTATATTAGTACTTCCAATTGAGTTTATAAGTATTTTAAATCCAATAAATAATTTAATTCCCACAAAGATCCAAATTTTCTCACTCTTATTAGAAGTGCATAACACTTGTTTTGCTTTGTAGTCAATCGGCTTTATGATTCCCTTTTTCTTCATGAATAGTATTTTATTCTACAGACAACCCAATTTATATCAATGAATACCTGTGGAGTAAAGTGTTACTTAGTGACTACGGGTTTCGGACAGACCCAAAATGACCAGCAGTTGAAGAAAAGATTGCCTGATATGTGTAATCTTACCTCTCTTTAGGTGACTTCTGTAACAGATCAGTCACAGGCTTTGACAACTTGTGTGTTCACTCACTGCTTTGTAGCACCCAGCTATGTGCCATGCTTGCATGTGTTACTTATATGAATCAATGAACTTCTTCAGTACCATGAATATTAAATATTATAAACATGTGTACATATATATATATATCTATAAAATTTTGAATGGATATCCAAGGATGTACCTCCATCTTTATTGGCACAAGAGACTTGCAAGTGCTTAGGGCCTCTGAAAATAAACCGTATGTGATTAAATGCGCACATGAGGTTGATGTGGATAAAAAATAGTGCTTAGTAACATAGTGGGAAGTCAGAACAGCTACACTTCAACATGTTTTATTGCTTTTAACTTCAGCAATTGTATTATAAACGTATTTTAGAAATAGTGCTTTCAAATGCAAGTTAGTTAAAAACTTTGAATATAGGTCAGTGCTATGCAATTTGCATTGCCAGATTCAAAATTTCATTCAAACTTTGAATCACTTAAGCTCTAAACTAGTAATTTTTTACTGGGGAGAAAAAAGAGGAAAGCAGGAGAAAATGGAAACTCTACGTGGAAGAAAGAAGAATTCTGTTCACTCTAGACATTAAAGGCTACAGGGGAAATTCTATTTGTCTCATTCTGGTGAGTAAATCAAGTTGACCTACTCACTGGACTACGAGAAACAGGATTTTGCTTTATTTTGAAGAGCAGACATTAGAAAAAGAGAGAAATATAACGTGCAAACTTACACATATATGTTCATATCTCTCCTACCAAAAAGTTCTGAGTTAGTCAGTTCTCCATCCCCTGGTTGAAGAAGTTGCAATTTCTTCTTGCAGGTTTCCTATAGATAAAAGAGTGTATGGATAAAGAGAAACAAGTAGTTTCTTTAATCAAATATGTTCTAGAAATAGGTTCCTCAAAGTGACATAACAATAGTGTAGAAAACTATCTAGATATGCAAGGAGTGTTGGTGATCCTAGAGATTATTTGTTATTATACTTGTGGTGCAATTTCGAGAGGTTTGTAAATGCACCAGGAATGAGATGGAAGCGCATAAAGAGTGGCCACAGCTTTTGCTAAACAACAGCTAAAAAAGGCTGACTGTGTTGCAAGTAGCTTTCAAGCTGGGAATCACCGTAGCTGCTGTACTAGGCAGTCCTGTAGCACTTTAAGATAAAGTATAGATCATTCTTAATACTTCAGGCACACGAGGTTTATGATGTGTCAACAGATTACTGTCAAGTCTCAGTGCAGCTCTGTCGCCAGGTGTCTAGCAGTACCTAAGAAGACAGTCTTCAGGGGAAATAAAAAACATAAGCTATATTAGCGCTGCTCTGTCTTTAGATATACTATTCCGTGCTTTACTTTGAGAAACTTCAGCTCAGAAATTTCAAGATTTCAAAAAGAAGCCTGCAGCTGCTTCAGTATAAGAAGAAGCATCTTTCCTCACAGAAATTACAGTAGTTCTCAGTGATTTAAATTATTTTCTGAACACATAACTATTCTTTTTTTTATTATTTCTATATCTTCTGCTACAAATTAGGAATATTCTCCTCTCTCACTAGAGCTTGTATAATTTAATATTTTGCACCAAGAGGATATGGGGCAGTTCTACACACTCGCAAGTCTGCAAGTTCATACAGGAGTTTC